TTTGGGGATAGTTGAAACTACCTGAGAACACTGATAACTTGATGAATTTGTGGATTTAGCCTACCCCCTTGCTTATGTTAGAAAATTTGGCATATGAAAATCTTGTAAAATGTTGGCTGCCTTAGTAAATGTAGTTATATAACTCTATAATGCCACTAGAAAAAGACGGTGGGTTAGAGATGTAAGTCTAATATTCAGGTTCATTTTGTGTAACTTATCATAGCAAACAAAGCTGAAACTTCTGATTTTGGAAGATTGTAAAACTGATGATTAATACTGAGTTCTGATCAGATAAATTCAGTTTAAAATGGTTTATAATGCCAATTCCAAAAGGCAGGTCTTGGAAATTAAACTGTTGATTACAAGCTGATGAATAAGAATAGTCTCTTAAATAACTTGAAACAATTATATCTTACTAACTGAAGTCCTTCCTCCCTATTCTCTGTCCCCCAAATTATAAAGGAAGATTTCTAGGTTGAATCTCAGGGCAACTGGGGAATTTTCTTAAAATTTGTAGGGAAAATCTGGTCCACGTTTATTTAAATCATCATTTACTACACATAATCTATTTTGTGTATTATTGCCATCATTGTGAGGAGAATCCTAATCAATAAAAATTTAAATAAAGAATAAACAATATTTGGTTATTAGAAAGACAGGGTTGAAGGATTGTGGGAACAAGTTGGAACAATCTATGACAATGCTATGATTGTCTCACTGTCCTCTAGGCTTTTGTTCTCCATGCTTGGATTCATTCCACTAATGGTCCCCTTAATAATAAATATACCACAGGTATGGAGAGAAAGTGTGTAGAGGAAGTTTGTCTCTCACCTACAACGACTCTTCTACTAATTATAATTCTTATTTGTTTTTTTCTGTTGGTCAAACAAAGAGGAGATCCACTCCAATCTGTCCTCACATTAAATGCAAGATTTTTACAAGCACTGCTGAAGTCTTTTGCAGCACTAATATTCCTGTGATTCTGAATTTAAAGCCAATACAATTAAGATAAATCTACTGTACTATCAGTACAGATATTCACATTTACTGGAGAATGTTACTATCCTAGGAAGAAGTACAGTTATTTCTGTGGTACCAAGTATGTGATTGGATATTCAATTAAATGGAAGCAAGAAAGATTTGTGTACATTTAGCATTTGTGGTATTAAACCAAAATTGATGCAAATTCAAAGATAAGCTGTGTATGAAAAGCTCTTATGTTAAACCAGAAATTACTAGGTGTCCACAATTTGAACTGTGTCAACAGTAGAATTCTTTTGTTGATTTTGGGAATGGTATTATATTTTTCTTACATTAAGACCATCACCAGTGATCTTGTGCCTAAAATATAGATACTTATCACTGAAACCTTCAATTTTTTAATTTCAATTTGGCAGGTCAAGAATTCAAACACCTTATTAGTATTTACTAAAAATTTATATATTAGAATTATTTTTGAATTCAAACTTTCAATCAAAACTTACTACTAAATCAAATAATTTCATGAGGATCAATAAAAGCCTCATTTTACCTCCTAATGCTTCAAAGCCAGCATAAAGAATAATTTAAAAATTAAGATGTTACTATAGAATTGTTCACTTACTGCTTGTCCATAATTCCTATATGACACAGTATTAAAAACAGACAACTCAGCTATTGTTAGACCTATTGAAGTAACTGTAGAAATCATGCAGAAGATGTTCATGATCAAAGCACATACAATCTGAAAAGAAGACACAGGGTAAATTTATTATATTCAGCTTAAACACTTTGGTTAATAATTTGTATTGCTCTAAAAAGTTCTCTAGTTAAAACTTTGATCTAGTCTCTAAAACATTAGAAGTGTTTGCATGCTTGCCATTAATGTAAAATATTTTTCTAACTTCCACAAAATTCAGTTAATCTGGAGGAAACATTAAAACATCACCAGACCAATAAGTATGAGTCTCCTATTTGGGCTCAGAAACATTGTATTTTACAATCTTATGAGTCAGTTGAGAGAAAGACTATAAGATATGACTTGAACAAAAGGGATTGTACTGTAAGGAAAAAAAGAAAAGAAAAACAAAAAGATGCAAATTGAGTACTTGTAGAAATAAAACAAAATAGAAGTTAATAAATTTTAATCCTGAGTTCTTATTATCTAGGAAAATCTATTAATATCTTTGGACATCAGTTTTTTTTGTCTGTAAAATTATGAGATCATATCATCCCAATGTCACCAAAAAAATGAAATACCTAAGAATCAATTTAACCACAGAGATGAAAGACCTCTACAATGAGAACTACAAATCACCACTGAAAGAAATTAAAGAAGACACAGAAAGATGGAAAGACACTCCATGCTCTTGGATTGGAAGAATTAACATGGTGAAAATGTCCATACTACCCAATGCAATCTACAGGTTCAATGCAATCCCTATCAAAATACCAATGACATTTTTCACAGAAATAGAAAAAACAATTCTAACATTCATATTCATACCTAAGAAGGTACACAAAAGACCCTGAATAGCCAAAGCAATCCTGAGCAAAAAAAGAAAAAAAAGTCAGTGGCATAACACTCCCTGACCTCAAACTATACTACAAAGCTATAGAAACCAAAACAGCATGGTATTGGCATAAAAACAGAAATTCAGACCAATGGAAGAGAACAGAGAACCCAGAAATCAACTCACATACTTACAGCCAACTGATCTTTGACAAAGGCAACAAGAACATACATTGGGAAAAGACTCCCTCTTCAATACATGGTGCTGGGAAAACTGGATATCCATATGTAGGAAAATGAAATTAGACCCATACCTCTCACCATATATCAAAAGCAACTCAAAATGTCTTAAAGACTTAAATACAAGACCTGAAACTACTAAAATAAAACATAGGGGAAACACTTAAGGATGTAGGATTATGAACATGACCCCAAAAGCACAGGCAACAAAAGAAAAAATAAACAAATGAAATTATACCAAACTAAAAAGCTTCTGCACATCAAAAGAAACTATTAACAGAGTGAAAAGACAACCTACAGAATGGGAGAAAATACTATCTGACAAGGGATTAATATCTAGAATATACAAAGAACTCAAACAACTTAACAGTTCAGAAAACAAGCAACCCAATTAAAAAATGGGCAAAGGAGCTGAATAGACATTTCTCATATGAAGATATACAGATGGCCAACAGACAAAAGAAAAAGTACTCAACATCAGTCAGCATCAGGGAAATGCAAATCAAAACCACACTGAGATATTATCTCACCCCAGTTAGACTGGGTACTATCAAAAAGACAGAGAATAACAAATGCTGGCAAGGATGTGGAGAAAAGGAAACTCTTCAGTACTGTTTGTGGACTGTAAATTAGTGCAGCCATTATGGAAAACAGTATGGAGGTTCTTCAAACAACTACAGATAGAACTGCCGTATGACCCAGCGAGTCCCATTGCTGGGATTCCCAAAGGAATGGAAATCATCATGTTGAAGGGATACCTGCCCTCCCATGTTTATTGCATCTCTATTTACAATAGTCAAGAGTTGGAATCAACCAAATGTCTATCAACAGATGACTATATAAGGAAAATGTGGTGTATATATTCAATAGATCACTACTTTGCCATAAAAATGAATGAAATTCTGCAATTCACAGCAACATGGATGAACTTATTTCATATGTTAAATGAAATAAGACAAACACAGAAAGAGAAATACATGTTCTCTTGTAAGTGCGAGCTAAAATAAAGGAAGTAAGGAAGGAAGGAAGAAAGAATCACAACAATACATTAAACTTTCAAAAAAAAAAAAGAACAGAACTATGGTTATTAGAGGTGGGAAAGGGGGAGGGGAAGGGAGGCTGGTGAGAATCTAGTTAAGGGTCACAAAGAGTGATTGCATTTTGTAAACATGAGTATACTAATTATCCTGATTTGATCACCACATGTTGTACACAAGTACTGATATTCAATGCTGTATGCCACAAATATAAATAATTATCTTTCAATAAAAAATCTGTCAAAAAAATTATAAGATGAGACTTATTAATTTTTAAGATACCTTTTAGCTCTAAGATTCTAAGATTTTTTTCTTTTTGTCATTTTTTTTTTTTTTTTCCGTGTCTGGCAACGGATCGCAACCCTCAGTGTTGCCCCCGTACCGGACCGGGGACCGGCAATGGGATTGNGAAGTAACTGTAGAAATCATGCAGAAGATGTTCATGATCAAAGCACATACAATCTGAAAAGGAGACACAGGGTAAATTTATTATATTCAGCTTAAACACTTTGGTTAATAATTTGTATTGCTGTAAAAAGTTCTCTAGTTAAAATTTTGATCTAGTCTCTAAAACATTAGAAGTATGCTTGCCATTAATGTAAAATATTTTTCTAACTTCCACAAAATTCAGTTAATCTGGAGGAAACATTAAAACATCACCAGACCAAAAAGTGTGAATCTCCTATTTGGGCTCAGAAACATTGTATTTTACAATCTTATGAGTCAGTTGAGAGAAAGACTATAAGATATGACTTGAACAAAAGGGATTGTACTGTAAGGAAAAAAAGAAAAGAAAAACAAAAAGATGAAAATTGAGTACTTGTAGAAATAAAACCAAATAGAAGTTAATAAATTTTAATCCTGAGTTCTCATTATCTAGGAAAATCTATTAATATCTTTGGACATCAGTTTTTTTTGTCTGTAAAATTATGAGATCATATCATCCCAATGTCACCAAAAAAAATGAAATACCTAAGAATCAATTTAACCACAGAGATGAAAGACCTCTACAATGAGAACTACAAATCACTGCTGAAAGAAATTAAAGAAGACACAGAAAGATGGAAAGACATTCCGTGCTCTTGGATTGGAAGAATTAACATGGTGAAAATGTCCATACTACCCAATGCAATCTACANTACAGCCAACTGATCTTTGACAAAGGCAACAAGAACATACATTGGGAAAAGACTCCCTCTTTAATACATGGTACTGGGAAAACTGGATATCCATATGTAGAAAAATGAAATTAGACCCATACCTCTCACCATATATCAGAAGCAACTCAAAATGTCTTAAAGACTTAAATACAAGACCTGAAACTACTAAAACAAAACATAGGGGAAACACTTAAGGATGTAGGATTGGGCAAAGACCTTATGAACATGACCCCAAAAGCACAGGCAACAAAAGAAAAAATAAACAAATGAAATTATACCAAACTAAAAAGCTTCTGCACATCAAAAGAAACTATTAACGGAGTGAAAAGACAACCTACAGAATGGGAGAAAATACTATGGGAGAAAACAAGCAACCCAATTAAAAAGTGGGCAAAGGAGCTGAATAGACATTTCTCATATGAAGATATACAGATGGCCAACAGACACAAGAAAAAGTACTCAACATCAGATGGCCAACAGACACAAGAAAAAGTGCTCAACATCAGTCAGCATCAGGGAAATGCAAATCAAAACCACACTGAGATATTATCTCACCCCAGTTAGACTGGGTACTATCAAAAAGACAGAGAATAACAAATGCTGGCAAGGATGTGGAGAAAAGGAAACTCTTCAGTACTGTTTGTGGACTGTAAATTAGTGCAGCCATTATGGAAAACAGTATGGAGGTTCTTCAAACAACTACAGATAGAACTGCAGTATGACCTAGCGAGTCCCATTGCTGGGATTCCCAAAGGAATGGAAATCATCATGTTGAAGGAATACCTGCACTCCCATGTTTATTGCATCTCTATTTACAATAGTCAAGAGTTGGAATCAACCAAATGTCTATCAACAGATGACTATATAAGGAAAATGTGGTGTATATATTCAATAGATCACTACTTTGCCATAAAAAAGAATGAAATTCTGCCATTCACAGCAACGTGGATGAACTTAGAGAAAATTATATTAAATGAAATAAGACAAGCACAGAAAGAGAAATACATGTTCTCTTGTAAGTGTGAGCTAAAATAAAGGAAGTAAGGAAGGAAGAAAGAAAGAATCACAACAATACATTAAACTTTCAAAAAAAAAAAAGAACAGAACTATGGTTATTAGAGGTGGGAAAGGGGGAGGGGAAGGGAGGCTGGTGAGAATCTAGTTAAGGGTCACAAAGAGTGATTGCATTTTGTAAACATGAGTATACTAATTATCCTGATTTGATCACCACATGTTGTACACAAGTACTGATATTCAATGCTGTACCCCACAAATATAAATAATCAATTATCTTTCAATAAAAAATCTGTCAAAAAATTATAAGATGAGACTTATTAATTTTTAAGATACCTTTTAGCTCTAAGATTCTAAGATTTTTTTCTTTATAATACCTTTCTGCCTACTCCATACATAGATGGATTTTTATTGTGGACAAATATCCTACTTTGTTATAAGACACAACTGTGTTCCAAAACTGGATAGTTCAGAAAATGAAGTTTTACAGCTATGTCATGTCTGTATATAAAAGCATTAGGTCCTATTAAAATTTTTCTATTCATAAAATTCATGCAATGTTATGTAAAGGTAGAACACCACACAAAACAAAACAAAAACTCTATTTAAATTTAGAAACTTTTAGATTAAGTGATCATGATTTTAACCAATACCACATATTTGTCTACATTAAATTATTTGCTCCTAGATTTCCACTTATTTCTTCATTTATTTTACAGGTAGGGTAGATTCCTTCATTGTTTAGACACTATCTTTTCAATAAAACGTAATGTTTAGCTTTGGGACAAGTGATTTCTAGAGATACCCCAAACATTTCAACTTACCAAGTATCGAGTTGGATGCTTTGTTGCTTTTATTATGAAGGCTCCTGAAATGATAAACTGGATATAAAAATATATAAATACTCATTGATAATGCTTGCCATCTTAAAATCTATTTTTAATAACTTTCTCTTCTGAGTCAATTATTTTTAGAATACTAAGAGCCAACAAATATAAAGAAGTTTTAGTAGAAGGGGTCAGAACAAGTTTCCATCATGCAGTAATGAACTGAAAGGTAACCGTAGGGTCACTCATAATAGAAATATAGGGGGGACAGTGGGAATATGTCAAAGATAGAATAAGCAGCCTTAAACTAGGGACCAAGTTTGCTTATACGTGTGCGTGCTACGTCATCTGTAACTCATTTGTGTATTACTTATAATGCTATCCTTCCTAATGAGATCATACCATTGATTATAATTACTGTGTACATATCCAGATGTGGAAAACCTGGTATGAATCTACTGCATTGTGACTGCACAAAATATATCTCTTAACTAAGATTGTAGTCATTATTAAGGTAAGAGCTGCTATTCGTGCCCTGGCCTTTGTTTTTAAGAAAACTGGTTCCACTATTTTGTGTCAAGAAGTTTATTTCTAAGAAGTGTAAAGCTATGCCG